GGTGGGGTCGGGTCATCTGGTGCTGGAGCGGACGAGGGGACCCTGCCCAGTCCGGCTGAGCCGCCGCCCCTGCAGTTGCAGCAGCCGCCGCAGTCGCAGCCTTCGCCGCAGCCGCAGCAGCCGTCGCAGACGCGGCAGCCGAGTGTCCTCCCGCCCGGGTGGCCTGGCGCTGGCGGTGGCCGGGCGCGTGGTGGTGTGTCAAGTGGTAGCTCTGGCGGCGGGCGCTCTCAGTACCAGATCCAGACCGGTCCTCGCCGCGGCTTCGTTTGCGGTAAGATCGGTCACTCCACTCCCCGCTGTTTCCGTCGCCTGGACGACCTCTTTCGTCAGCGCTTCGGCCTGTCGCCAGACCTCCCGGACTGGCACAGTTTGCTTAGTCGTAAGATTCAGATCTTTAATATGGGCATGGATGCCATTGTTTCTGCTCTGCATGTGATGTATGCTGATGACTCTAGTGTGCTTCCAGCTTATTACTCACTGTTGCCTAGTGTAGGTGTACCTAGAGTAGCCTCCCCTGCTGCGTCAGGCGTAGGATCCTCTGCTTTGTGTAGTCTTGGTGCTTCCGCCGTCGTTCCGTCGCCAGCCGCCTCTGCTTCGTTTTCCTTCACCTTGGACTCTGGCGCTTCTCGGTGTTTCTTCCGCGACTCCACCACCCTGACGCCGCTTCCTGTTCCTGCTGCCGTTTCTCTTGCTGACCCCTCCGGCGGTCCGGTGGTCACCCGCAGTTCCACCACCCTTCCCTGCCCGGCGGTTCCTTTGGGCTCTCTTACAGGTCTGCATATCCCCTCGTTCTCTAGGAACCTAGTTGGTGTCGGCTGCCTCCAGGACCTTGGCGTCACCACTACGTTCCCTGGTCACGAGCGGTATGCTGTCTGTACCGAGGCCGCCACCGGTGCCCCCCTGTCCACGTTCCCCCGGGACCCGGTGTCTGGCCTGTTCACTCTGGACACCGTGACCCCCCCGGCTGGGGCGCTCCCTCAGGTGGCTGCGTCTACTCAGGTTGCTGCTGTCTGCTCCTGTCGGTCCCTCACTCACCCGACGCTCCTCTGGCACCACCGCCTAGGTCACCTACGCTCCCGCGTCTGCGTCACATGTCCCAGCACGGTCTTGTCCTTGGTCTCCCAGGTTCTCTCCCTGCGTTTCCCTCATCCCCAGCCCCCCCTTGCACGCCTTGTGTCGAGGGTCGGCTTCGCCGTGCCCCTCACTCCTCCTCGTTTCCCCCTACCTCCGCGCCGATGCAGACCCTGCACCTGGACGTCTGGGGCCCCGCCCCTGTCCCTGGGCCGCGTCGAGAGCGCTACTTCCTTGTGCCCGTCGACGACTTCACTCGTTACACCACAGTCTTTCCCCTGGAGCGCAAGGCCGACGTGCCTGGCGCTCTCATCCCCTGGCTTGTCTCTGCGCGTATCCACCGCTGTCTCCCTGTCCTGCGTCTTCACTCAGACCGTGGTGGCGAGTTTGCCTCAGGTGTCCTTGGTCGCTTCTGTCGTGCGGAGGGCATCACCCAGACGTTCACCCTACCGGACTCCCCACAGCAGAATGGGGTCGCTGAGCGACGCATCGGTTTGGTCATGGAGGTGGCTCGCACCTCCATGATCCATGCCGGTGCACCCCATTTTCTGTGGCCGTTCGCTGTGCGCTACGCTTCTCACCAGCTTAACTTGTGGCCGCACCCTCAGCAGTCGCAGGTTTCGCCGACCCGTCTTTGGACTGGGTCTCCTGGTGACGCGTCTGCGTTCCACGTCTGGGGCTGCCTTGCTCACGTCCGTGCCTCCGGCACGGACAAGCTCACTGCCCGCACCCTTCCCTGCGTCTTCCTCGGTTTTCCCCTTGACGCGTCCGACTGGCACTTTTACCACCCGCCGTCTCACCGCTTCTTTCACTCTCGTGACGTCACCTTTGACGAGTCCGTCTCCTAGTACCGTCGCTTCCCCCACCGTGGTCCCCCGGTTACCCCCCCCCTGTTCCTGGTCACTCCTTCCCCGGTAGTCCCTGCCCCTCCTCCTCCTCCTCCCCGTCCCGCCCCCTCTGGTGTGTCCCACGTCACCCCCCTTCCGTCGGTGGACCCGGCTGGGGAGTCTTCTGACTCTGGTGGCCCTCCTGTGCAGTCCTCGCCAGCCGCCCCCCCCCTGGCGTCCCCTTCCCAGTCCCCTTCTCCACCGCCTCTGCCGCCGCTGCAGCCGTCGTTGTCGCTGCCGCCGCCGCCGCTGCAGCCGTCGTTGTCGCTGCCGCCGCCGCCGCCGCCGCCGCCACCGCCGCCGCCGCCGTCGCAGCACCCGTTCGCTGACTCTGGGGGTGCTCGTCCCGGTCGCCCTGCGGGTGGTCCCTCTGGGGGTGCGGGTGTGGAGAGTGCTGGTGGTAGCCGAGGAGCAGCTTGCGGTCCAGGTGTCGCCGTTGTGCTGCCGCAGCAGCAGTCCTCGCCGGTGTCCGCCCTTCGCCTGCTCGGCCTTCCGTCCCCCGACCCTGCGTCGGTTCCTCCCCCACCGTCTCCTCCTCTTCCTGTCTACGGCCCTGTTTTTCCTCCGCCGGACTCGTCCCCGGCTCGTCTCCCCCCTCGTTCCCCTCCTGTGTCCCCTCCCCTGTCTCCTGACCCGACTCCTCCGTCGCACGTCTGGTCTCACCGCCCCTCCCGTGCTCGCCCTGCCTCGCCTGTCTTGCGCTCCCACCCTATGTTGCTTCGTTCCCACGCGTCTCGTCCTCCCCTTCTGCCGTTGCCTCCTCCGTCCTCCCTTGTTGTTGCACCCCCCCCGCTGTCTGACTACCTTCGTGCCGCTCGTCCTCTTGTTCCTCGGGTCCTTGCCTCTCTCGTTACCGACCCGTCTGTTCCGGTCCCGTGCCTTGACACTCTTGTCGCTGCTGTCGCTGACTTCGCCTCTACCCTCCGCCTTGACTACGCCACCGCTCTGGTCTCTGACCCTGCCTGTCCTCCGTCTGTCGGGGGTGAAACTGCCCTTGGCAGTGACGTCCTGGAGGACCGCCAGTTCGAGCTTGCTTTCCTCTCCGAGGCTGCTCCCCATCTCTGTTCCATGCTGCTAGTCCCTGAGGGTGACCCAGACGCTTTCGACATCCCGACCCCTCGCACTTACGCTGAGGCGACTTCGGGACCCTGGGCCTCGCAGTGGATAGCTGCCATGGAGCAGGAGATGGCATCTTGGAGATCCACCGGCACCTTCGTCGACGCAGTTCCCCCACCTGGGGTGAACGTAGTCGATGGCCGCTGGCTCTTCAAGGTGAAGCGCCCTCCTGGAGAGCCGCCGGTCTTCAAGGCGCGCTATGTGGCTAGAGGCTTCAGTCAGCGCAAGGGGGTGGACTTCTTCCAGACCTTCGCTCCGACCCCGAAGATGACTACTCTTTGGGTTCTGTTACACCTAGCGGCTCAGCGTGACTACGAGCTTCACTCCCTCGACTTCTCCACTGGCTTCCTTCAGGGCAGCCTACACGAGCAGGTCTACCTGCGTCGCCCTCCGGGCTTTACTGGCACCTTCCCTCCTAGTACCCAGTGGCTCCTGCGGCGCCCCGTCTACGGCCTGCGCCAGGCTCCTCGTGAGTGGCACGACACTCTTCGTGCTGCCCTTGCTGACCTGCAGTTCTTTCCGTCTTCCGCAGACCCTTCACTCTTCGTTCGTGCTGGCCAGACTCCGTTCTACATCCTTGTTTACGTCGACAACCTGGTCTTTGCCACAGCAGACAGGGACGCACTGGCCTCCGTGAAGGCAAAGCTTCTGAAGAGACACACGTGCACTGACCTTGGAGAACTGCGCCGTTACCTTGGCTTGCAGATCTCCAGGGACAGAGCTGCGCGCACCATCACCCTTACTCAGTCACACTTGGTGCGCCAGGTCCTTCAGAGGTTCAGCCTTCAGTTCTCCTCTGCACAGCCCACCCCTCTACCTGTAGACCACAGACTCTCCGCTCCAGTGTCTGAGGAGTTGGTAGAGCCCAGCGGCCCCTACGCAGAGCTGGTGGGTTGCCTCATGTACCTGATGACTTGCACTCGCCCAGATCTCGCATACCCTCTCAGCATCCTGGCTCGCTTTGTGGCCACAGGCAGACACCGACCGCAGCACTGGTCTGCCGCTAAGAGGGTTCTGCGTTATCTTGCTAGTACATCGGGCATGGGGTTAGTGCTTGGAGGACGCAGGCCAGTGGTCCTTACTGGACACACAGACGCTTCGTGGGCAGACGACGCTGAGACGCTCAGGTCTACCCAGGGCTACTGCTTCAGCCTTGGCTCAGCTGCCGTCTCGTGGAGAGCTACCCGCTCCTCGTCTGTAGCGCAGTCCAGCTGTGAGGCTGAGATCTACGCTGGTGCCATGGCGGCACAGGAGCTCCGCTGGCTAACCTTCTTGCTCACTGACTTAGGTGAGCGGCCTAGCTCTGCCCCGGTCCTGTTCGCTGACAACAGGGCCATGATCCTCCTGTGTCAGGAGCCTCGACTCGAGGGCAGAGCGAAGCACATTCAGCTGCGGTACTTCCTCCTGCGTGAGCTACAGCAGCGACGTCAGGCTCGCGTAGTACACTTGGCCTCATGTGCCAACACGGCTGATATCTTTACGAAGGCGCTTGCGCCTAAAGATCATCAGCGGCACTGTGTACAGCTTGGTCTAGTTCCTGTAGCCTCTCACTTGCTAGGACCTTGACTTTGTACTGTCCTTTATATGTATACTCAGACTGGACTTGTGTCCTCTCCCAGTGGCTGGACTAGTAGTGTCGCCCTGCCCTTGTTCTTGCCTTGTTTGTACTCCCTCTGACTGGTCTCTTAGAGCCTTGTCTCAGAGGTTGGACTAGTAGTGCTGCCCTGAGCTGTTTGTTTAGGGCATTCCCCTATGCAGTCTAGGGGGTGTGTCAAACATGTGTATTTGTCATGTTTGTATAGACTGTATAGGGTCGCCTCTTAGAGAGTACAACACTTAGGTATATCTTTGTGTACTCTCACTCTATCTATTATTCAATTTTCAATTCTGATAAATCAGACTAAAATAGTCTGATAAAATCAGCCCTGGTCCCGAGGCTTCGGGTGTGTTCGAGCGTACGCGATAGCAGTACCGCTCGGTAAGGAATGGAAAATTCCTTACAATGGACGACATGCTACTACTATATATTATAAACATTATCTTTGGGACTCCAAAGCGTGAAACTGTCGCATATACATCATTCAACTTGGTAAGAAATCAAGCGAGGCAAAAGCGAGGGCCAATAAAGTGTCCCACCCACCCCGTCGTCAGGGTTTTGTTGGGAGAAGTGTAGCGAACAAGCCTGGGCTCAAATGGTTGAGTCGAGCACATGCAATCACTGGCTCAGGCACCTCACTCTGGTTGTTTCCCTGGAATAACGGGGAGCATGACAGGCAGGAAGATAGGCAATCTTGAGGAGAATAAAAGGAGGATGAGGAAAAGGCGTGCCAATATGCTGCAAATAAAGTCACACCCAATACATTCCTTGTCGAGAGACCCGCTGGGGTTACCCTTGAGAAGATCCTCCGGGAAGGGCCACAGGTGCAGAGCCTGGGGGGCTATGGGCACACTGACCTGCTATGAACAAGCCTTTTTAACTCAGTGGTTAGTGGCTGAGTTTCTAACATGGTATCAGAGCATTGGTGACTCGGGTTCAATTCCCAGTGCTAGCGCTGCAGAGGCGCTCGTGTCCTCCGCCTATCCCAGCAAGGGAGGGTGTCGAGAGACCCGTTGGGGTTACCCTTGAGAAGATCCTCAGGGAAGGGCCACAGGTGCAGAGCCTGGGGGGCTATGGGCGCACTGACCCGCTATTAAGAGGCCCTTCTAACTCAGTGGTTAGTGGCTGAGTTTCTAACATTCCTTCCCTACCTGAAGAGAATAGCGCGAACCCTAAACCCAGACGCAGCAGAGACCAGGCAAGACAAGACAACTGGGCAATGAGGGCAAGGAACATGGGCAATGAGAACAAGGTACCTGGGCAATGAGGGCAAGGTCCAGAGTGGAGTCGGAGAGCGAGCAGAGGAGCGGCAGCAGGGCCTTGCGGGATGATTGTGGCAGCTGGTGCAGGTCTATGTCTATCTCCAAGTAGTCCGGACCCTGGCACGGGGGGGGGGGGGGGGGAGAAGGAAGAGAAAACGCATGTGAGAGAAGTGGGGAGATGTATGTTGGCCAGAGGCACCGAGGAGAGAAATAGCGGAGCTATTTCCCGAAGCTGCAGATGGAGAAAGGCGGATAGGGGGACACAATGCCATGCGGACTGTGATGCGGAAAAAAAAGGAAAAAAAGTGAGGAGCGGCAGAAAGAAAGAAAGAAAGAAAAAGCACGGACCCGGAAAAACATCTGATATGGGTGTGTTAGGATCGCGGCACTCTCCTCCTTCCCCCAGTCCTCTCTCCGCCCCTTCCCTCCTGCTGCACTTCCTGATCTGCCCCTCACTCCCATCACTCTCCCCACTGTTCTTGATATTCTCCTTCTCACTCCCCCCTTCCTGCGCACACAGCTCCTCCCAACATCTGCTTCCACCTCCCCACCTTCCTCCTCTGAAAACCCCTCCTCATCACTCCCCCCTCTCTCTTCCTCCTCCTCATACTCCTCCCCCTCCTCCCCATGCATTTCTCCAGCACGACCCCCCTCTGACCCTTGATCCTCGTTCCTCATCCCTTCACCTCCCCCTCCCGCCCTCCCTTCTCCACTCGCTCCCTCCCGTGCAAGGCCTGCTCGGGCAGCATTTTTCGTCCCATCTCTGCGCACAACCATGAGCTTGAGGCGCTCTTTAAAGGGGACAAAGGCAGCAGCGCCTGACAGCATGGCAGAGACACGCGCCACCTCCTCCTCTTTCATTGTCTCCACCCCGCCCTTGAGACCCTACAGAGGAGGGAGGCGGGAGGAAGGGAGGAGACAGGATGGTGAGCACTGGCATGATGGAGACAGGATGGTGAGCACTGGCATGAGGTGGCAGCACGGGCAAGGAGGTGCACTGCAAAAGTCAACATCTTAAGCTCCCACCCACTAGCCCCACCTGCTAGCCCCACCTGCTAGCCTTGCCCCACCTGCTAGCCTAGCCCCACCTGCTGGGGTTCCTCCTGTGCTTCACTCTCGGAATTCTCTTCCTCTCTCATCCGCAAGCTCACCCAGGCAACTCACCCTAAGCAGCGGCAGCATGTGCGGGGGGGGGGAGGCAAAGAAGGCGGGGCAAATGTGCGAGTACAGCACGAGGCTGAAGCCCTCCGAGGCATGCGAGTCGGACGAGAGCAGTGAGATGTGCGCACGGGGGACGTGGATGGGCACCTGGGGCCGCGACATTGTGGGGAGAGAGGAGGGTGGGTGGTTGGGTGGGTGGGACAGGGGATAGTTGGTCGAGCAGAGGAGGTTGGGGTAGGGTAAGAGAAGGCAGACGATAGCACGAGAAGGTGAGTTTATGGAGGGAGGAAGGCGGGGCTGACGTGGAAAGGTAAGCAGCAAAGGAAGAAGGGGCACGGGCGAGTAGAGTGAGGTACAGACAACACCCTCCCCACACTTGCCTGCACATGAACCAGCAGCAGGCGCGGCAGAGCAGCAGCAAGAGCAGCAGCGTCACGAGAGGCTAGACCCGAAGCAGCAGCAGCAGCAGCAGCGGCAGACGAGGAGGCAGGGCGGGGAGAGGAGGCGGCTGAGGAGTGGGCGGTGGTGGTGGTGGCGGAGGGGAGGTCGATGAGGCGCGCGATGTGGGTGAGCTTGTGGGGCGTGTGGAAGACATCCACGGCTGTCACGCTGTATGGGGTCAGGTGGTGCGCTGCCTGCTTCACACCCGTGCTGTGAGGGGCAGGTGGGAGGGGGGGGAGGGAGGAGGGGATAAGAGGGGGGAGGAGGCGGGAGAGATGGGACAACTGAAAGAGATAGGTCGAGCGAAAGAACAACAACAGCGCAGAAGAGCAATTAACTGATGAAGCACCATTGCAAGCTGCACCATTCCCTACTGCACCTGAAGTAGCTTGTTCCCCGCACTGGCAGGCACGCAGGGCTAATGTCCATCCAGCAGTGCGCGGGGGCGGGGGCGGCGGGGGGAGGTGAGGTGCAGGAGGCATGGTCGGGGGAGGAGTCAGGGGAGATGACGAGCGGGGAGGAGCGGCGGCGGGGGGGGCGAGATAGAGACACGTGGCGGGGCAGCTGGGACCCCGGCTCTGGCATGTGGAGGACCTTGCGGGGGGCTGTGACAGGGAGTGAATGGGAGCGCAACGGAGGGAAAAGGGTGGTGGCAGGGATGGATAGGAGGGAGGTTGGCAGGATAGGGCGAGACATTAGGATGGTGGAGAGGGGTAGATGCAACTGTGGGAAGCTGCGAACAGGAGTCTATTTTTGAGGCGCCTCAAAAATAGACTCCTCACGCATGGTGTACTCATAGAGAGGTTTTTCGTTGCTTGGAAAATTGGGTGTAGCTTATCAAAGCGTTTGGTGCGCGCGCGGCTTCCGAAGCTGCCTACTGGCGAGGATTTGAATTCAACTACTTTTCAAGACACCCTCGAGGTTTGAAGACGTGGCCCCTTGGTTTTTACCAGGTTGGCCTGGATTGGTCCCTGATATTTTGGGTTGACCTGGGTGAAGATTACATTGAGTTTGGTTCGGTTGGATGCTTAGTTTCTACTTAGAGGCTTTGCTTTGCTCATACTTTCTCATTGACACTGATGAAGGCTCGCTAGGGTATGCCCTGCGGCCAAAACATGTTTGTCACCAGTTTAATTGGTTGTTAAGGGAAGAGCTCCGACTACTCCGAACTCACGACTACATAAGCAACCCAAAATATCAGGGACCCGTTTCCTGACACCGCGCTCACTGGAAGATTTTGGGTTTACTGTTTTTCCTACTTGCTAACCCGTTTCCTGACACCGCGCTCACTGGAAGATGTCCAAGAGTCATTAGGATGGTGGAGAGGGGTAGATGCAACTGTGGGAAGCTGCGAACAGGGAGAGAATGGTGCCAGCATGCCAGAAAACAGGAAGCATGTGAATAGAGAGGGAAGCGAGTATCTTACCCAGAAGCATCTTGGCTGCTGCAGTCTCCACATCTACGCGCACAGGCATGCCCACGTGTGCCGGTTGCTCCAGCCGCCTCTCCCTCTCCCGCTCCCTCTGCTGCCAGTACGCCCCTCTGAACGCCCCAAAGTCCTCCTCCTCCTCGTCCTCTTCCTCGTCGGTGAGATACTGTGTGGAGGTTTTGGCAGGGGGGCTCCTGAAGACAGGCGGAGCGGCAGCAGTAGCAGCGGCAGTGACGGAGTGAGCTAGCTTCTGCAGCGAGGGCACGGAGAAGGATGGGTGCAGTGACTTCCACCGAGACAGACCTCCTCGTGATGCTGCCGCCCCTCCTGCCCCTGCTGCCCCTGCCGCCTCCTCCCCTGCTGGCCCTTGTTCAGTCACACGTGCCCTAGCGCCCGGTGCTCCCTCACCTGCTGCTCCTGCGGCTGGTGCAGTGGCTAAGGAGAAGGAGGGGGAGGATGAGATGCGTGACATTGGGGAGAGTGACACGCCGCGCTGCCGTCCCTCTAACCCATGCGCAGGACTGCCAGCATGCTTGGTACTTGCTCTTCGGGACGCAGCTGCATGGGAACTGGCAGCAGCCACTGTTTCAATTGCCCCCACGTCCCTCCCTCTGCTGCCAGCAGCGGTGCCACTTGCATTGCCGGAAGCGCCAGTGGTGCCAAGATTGCATGTATCTGCTGCTGCTTCACCGTCCTGAGGTCTCACAGTTGAGAGCACAGCTGCTGCTGGTGCTGGGTTGACTGTGTGTGCAGCAGCAAGGGCAGCACCATCCCCACCACCTCCACTGCCTCCCTCCGTGCAAGCACCACCCACCTCTGCCTGCCCCTCCCTTCCTCTAGTCACCCGGCTCCACAGCTCCGGATGCAGCGACCAGGTCCGGGGCCGCTCCGTGCCTGAACCTGGAGTGTCGGAGAGCCGCCGAGTGGATGCCGAACCGGGGGAGAAGGGCCGGTGGGGTTGCTTTGACTTGGCACGGACTCGAGAGGAGAGGGAGGACAGGGAGGAACCAATGGTGGTGTGGGGCGATGTGGAGCGGAAGGAAGAAGGGGGAATGGCGATGGTTGGAGAACTTGGAGAGGACAAGGGGTGATACAAGGAAGATGTGGGATTGGCTGTGCTTGGGCTAACGTGCGAGTGAAGAGGAGGAGATGGGTGTGTGGCGGCGGAAATATGGAGATCAGAGAGAGAGGCACGGATGGGAGGGCGAGGGAGTGTGGTGACAGGGGGAGTGGGGGAGTGGAGAGCGGTGGAGGCGACTGGGAGTGAAGGTGTGAGTGAGGAGGAGGCAGGAAGGAAGGGGAGTGAGGTGCTCCCAGATGCCACTGGCTTGAGCACGGAATCTGAATTCACAGCAAACACTTCATTTTCCAGCCACTCAGCTGCTGATGCTCCACACGCCATGCTTGCTCCAGCACCCCCTCCTCCTCTCCCCCCACTCCCCCTTGGCTTCCCTTCCTCCCTTCCATCCCAACTGCCCCCCATGCTCCGTGCCCTGAATTTCCGCACGCCAGCAGCAGCGAAACCCATGGCAGAGGCAGGTGAATGGGAGGCGCGGCGGGAGGGGGAGAGGGCAGTGCGGGCAGCAGAGAGCACAGCAGCACCAATAGAGCGCAGGGGAGAGTGGGACGTGCAAGGAGGGTGGGGTACGGCAGGCTTGTCCCCACTACAGGCGGTACCAGCATCAGTGGCATCACCGCCAGTAGCAGCAGATGCAGCAGCATGAGCAGCAGGTGTAGCAGTGAGAGGAGTGGGGGTGGGGTGCGCAGTGCTAGCACCCTGCTGTGCTTGTGCTGCCAAGTGTGCACCTGCCTCCACTCCTCTATGCTTCCCTGCTGTTGCGTGCCTCTCCACATGATCCTCTGCTGAAGCTGCAGCATTCCCCGCTTGTGGAAGCCCCTCCGCTGCTGCTGCACTGTACTCTTCCTCATCCTCTGCTGAGTCTACCCGCATGTGCGCACTTGGTGAGGGGAGGTGCGGCGGAGGGGTGGTGAGCAGCAGGGGCGCGGTCTTGAACATCTCGTCCAGTTCCTCTGGTGGATGAGGGGTGGTTGGATTCATGCATACAGAAGAATGGATGCATAGAAACATGTACAGATTTAGGGTACAGGCATGGCTGGGCGGGGTGGCAGGCGAGGGCAAATCAGCAATAGTACTAAAAGGATAAGAGACTATATCCCCCGTGTGACGTCCCCCAAACGCACCAGAGTCTTCACTGCCTGCACTATGGAACAACTCCTCCTGCTCCTGCTGCTCCTGCTGCTCCTGCTGCTCCTGCTCTGCCTCCGCGCCATGTCCCTGTGGCCCTCTCCCCATGGACCCCTCCCTCCTGCCTGCCTTCTTGTGCGCCCTCCTTTCCCCACTCAAAGACTGCACACACGGCTGGCTGCCTGCTGCCATGCCCGGGAAAGGGGAGGGAGAGGGGAAGAGAGAGGGGGGGGAAGAGGGGAGGGGGGGGGGGGGGGGAGGTGTATAGTGTATTCCGTGAATCGCCATATCATGCCAGGGTACCCAATACAACAGACAGACAGATGAAGTCTTGAGGACACGGCGAGAGCTGAGGGACACATGAGGGAAAGAACGGCAGCAGCGCATGTAAAGAAGGCTTGTCAGGGAGTGTGCAGGGACGTCTTGGCACGGACCTGGGGGATTGGAGGACGAGGGTAACATGCGGTTCCCACGGGGAGAGAGCACCTTGCGAGCCGCAGAGAGCACGGACGAGAGGCCCTTGGTGCGACGCGGGGAGGGCGCACGGGCAACCATAGCGGATGTGCCTTCCCCTGCGGATGGGGGTTGCAGGGAGAGGGGGAGGCGAGGGAAGAGACGATGGTGATTGGTGGTGGTGATGGGGTTGAGTGCGCGGCAGATGAGGGGAGTGTATCAACGAAAAACAGCGTAGATATAGCCATGGGTTGGGAAGACGCAGGAGGAGTGGGGTAAGGAACAGATAGGACATTAGACTATGTGAATGCACACCTGGACGCAGTGCAGACCTAATCAGTGCACACTGCACACACCTGACGCATGCATGCGAGTGGCGGGTTGATGAGTGTGTGCGTCGCACTGGTGGATGGTGAGCAGAGCCCCCGCGCCCTCCTGCAGCTTGCACACCAGCGCCCTGCCCGCCTGCGCTGGCAGCATTATGCCCGCCTGCGCCCCCCTCTGACACAGCCCCGCCGCGGTCATGGAACTGACCTGCGACAAGGTGTCTGGGGGCGACGGGCGAACAGGGGGGTGGAATGGGGAAGGAAGGAAAATAGTGAGAAAGGAGCTCGCACCCAGGTCAGGCTTTCAAGGGGCGGAGCGCACAAGCAGCAAGCAGCAAAGAGCGCGTACCAGCCCGGGCAGAGTGGAAGTCGTCTTCGGAGTGGCTGTCTGCATCCACGAACTCAGGAGCCACCCCACACCATGCGCGCTCGCCCCGCACTGCCTTCCCTGCTGCCCCTGCTGCCCCTGCTGCTCCTGCTGCTCCTCCCGCCCCCTGTCTTGGCCTGCGCTGACTGCCCTTCTTTCCCTCCGCGCTCCTCTCTGTGCCATGCCAGTGGCACAGCCATGGAAGGATTGATGAGTTGAGGTCGCATCCAATAGGCACGATTAGGTCTTAATAGGAGAAATGAGTTCTATGCAAGCTGCTATAAGGAACCTGAGCAAGTTGAGCAGGTGAGAGGAAGACGAGGGTGCTGCAGCGAGAATAGAAGCATGAGAGCACGGGGACACGGGCAAGTGGAGAGCAAGGGGCAGGACAACTTACGAGCCATCATGAAAACGTTAAGCCCGTCATTTGCATTCACAGGAACCTTCTGCTTCTCCTTGTCCTTCTCCCTCTCTCGTCCTCGCCTTCTCTTCACCACGCGTGCCATCAAAGTCTCCTCAGTCCCACTCGCCCCTCCATTGCCTCCCTGCACCTTATCACTGGCCCCTCCATTGCCTCCCTGCACCTTATCACTGGCCCCTCCCTCCCCTCTTGTGCTTCTCCCCACATCTTCCCCCCCTGCCACCACCCTTCCATCTCTCTCTCCACCGCTCTCCACCGAACTTTTGCCCTGCCGGCTCGCCTTCCTCTTCCGCCTAGGAAAGCAATGCCCATCCATCCCATCCCCGTCCAGCCCGTACTCACCACCCAAACAAGCCCTCGACCTGCCCTTGCCCTTCCTCCGCCCTGCCACATCCACATCCTCCTCCTCGGTATCACTACCACTCGCCTCGTATTGCAGACCGCCCTTGCCACCCCCGTCAGCCCGTCTGCTGAATTCCCGGCTACGGCCCCTCCTGGACCCTTGCTTGTGCAAGGTCGGCCCGTAGTAATCGAGGGCAGCGGTATCAGACAGGACAGCACCCAGCAGGCCTGCTGAGTGCTTTCCAGCATCCGCTGCTGATACTGCTGCGCCTGCTGCTGTTGCTGCTTGAGCTAGTTCTACTACTTGAGGCGGCACACCCCTTCCATCCTCACCTCGCCCTCCTCCCCTGCTGCTGCTGTTTTGCTGCTGTCCCTGGCCTTTAGAAAACCCGTCTGCTGTTCCAACTGCAATGGCCTTCTCTTGCTGCACCTGATTTGCTCCAGAGGGACGTTCCCTTGCGCTGGCATTCCTCCCCCCTGCTCCACCTGCATCGTCCGCCCTCCTGTCCTCCTCACTGTATGCCTCCGACCCTGCCGGCACCCCCTCTCGCCTCGCTCTCTCTGCTTCTTGAAACCCTTCCACTACTCCCCTTCTCGCTCCCGCCCCGCTCCCCGTTCTCCTGCTCTGACTATCTGCTGCTGCTGCTGCTGCCGGGGATGGAATGGCACGAGCCTGCTCTGACCCACTGGGCATGGAGGGCTGCTGGGCGTCGGGCACACGCGTTGCTGCCTCCGCGCCACTTGCTGCCTGCGTGCTAGAGTCTGAGACAACAGGAAAGGAGAGGAAAGCAGATGAAGCTTCAGGACAACAGGCAGCGCCCGGAAGAGATGCAAATGCATAAATCACGGGGTGAAGGAAACCAGCTCCGTGTGCTTTACGATTCCTAGAATGCCTTGCTTACCTTCTCTTGCACTCTGCGTCTCGTCCTCGCCCGAGTCTTGCCTCGAGGGGGCATCTGCGAATTCCTCACTTGCCTCGTTCTCCCCCCCCACATCATCTCTGCCAGCAGCAGCAGCAGCAGCAGCAGCACCACCACCACCACCACCACTGCCGCTACCACCCCCTTGCTTCGCAGCTGCTAATTCTGCTGCTGCTGTAGAAACCGCTGTCGATGCCAACTGCGCAAATGTCTCCCCATCCTTGCGTTCAGCGTTCGTTTTCCGCGCGTGCTGCCCTTTCTTCCCCGTGGACGAGTCCCCTCGCGCTGCTGCTCCAGCGTCAGGCTTCTTTCCCGCCGCTCTACTGCCGTGTCTCTTCCCTTCTCCTCTGGAAGTAGGTCGGCCTTCCTCCCCCCGGGGCTTTGAGAAACACGCCCCCATGCCGACCCTCTCTCTGTTCCTGCTGCTCTCCTGCTCCCCCTGCTCCCCCTGCTCCCCCTGCTCTCCGTGCTCCCCTTTCTCTCCCTGCTTCCCCTGCTACCCCTGCCCCCCCTGCTCTCCGTGCCCCCCCTGCTGCCCCTGCTTCCCCTGCTATCTCGGATCACACGGCGAAGACTGACGCTGCTAACACTTCTGCAGGCCCTGGCAGCATATGTGGCCCGGATTGCTACCACATAACGAGCAGTGCGTGCCACGGTATGGCCTCTAATAGCCCAGAGCAGGGCAGGTGGAGTGGACTATAAGGAGATATCGTCACGGTAGTGTGTCATGACGGGTACCGAAGCATGCTGTGAAGAGGATAAGCCGAGGGCTTCGCAGTAGGGAATCTTGTCCGAAAGGTGTCCTGAGTCAAGCTTCTACGCCGTGGTCAGGGAACAACTAAGGAACCAATGAATGACGATAAGGAGTCCAATCTTGCGATTGTAAAAAAAAAAACCATATCCACTCTGTAGAAGCTGTGCGCAGTCAAGACAAGGCCGAACCGAGAACGTCTATTTCCCGCATATTTTGTGTGGACCCTCCTGCTGCACTAGGCGGGTGAGTTTCAAGATTCCACAATAACGACCAATATCGCAACGGTGGGAGTGGAACGACGCGGGTGGTGACATCCGTGAGGACGCTTGCCGAGGGAACCTAAGAGCGACGAGCTAAGTGCATCAATGATGACGTGTCTTAGTGGGAATCAGGTAATCAAATCCGTTACGGAGGTACCGAGGGTCGTTTGAGAGAAGGAGCGCCGGAGTAGCTGGGTTGGTCAGGCGTCCTTCTAACAGTTCCGAAGTTTACTAGAGGTTCGCCAGGAACGAGGACGAGGCTACAACCATTCAGTGCACGACGGTAAGATGGTCACCTGCAGGTACTGGCCGCCCCAGCAGCAGCACCAGCAGCGAGGGGAAGTCATCAGAGGTCTCATGAAAAGCGCAGGGGAAGGCGGGTCACACACACACCGCTCACACGCGGGAATCAGGACTCAGAATTCATCAGCACCACACAATATGAGTAGATTGGGTTATACCTCGGGAATGTTCCTGTTACAAAGAACATGTTCGCCAACACTACACCCCACACTTCTCGCATGGCGAAGACGACCGCGAGCGACACATCGCCAAGCCAAGTCGGCGGAGCGGAGCGGAGCCGCGCTGCACAGCATGCTGCTGATGGGGCGAGGAGGGGACCCTGATTCTGGTTGGGTCCGCCTACCAGGCGGGAAGGCAAATGTCGAGGAAACGTCAGACCGATGGCGAAAACAGACGCCCAGCCGGGGTTGTTGTCAGTTGGCAAGTTTCCTCGTTGGCCGACTGTGTAAGGAATTACGATTCCTTACTGGGGCTCGCCACAGCGAGTACACGCGAACAGTGCGCGTCCGCAGGCTCGGCCCTTGGTTCTCGCGCCAAACCAGCCCCCGTCGACCTTTTCGGCCCCAACCTGATCCCGAGTCGCTTCGAACCCATTTTGACCCCGTCACCTTGGGGACTGTCGAGCCCATGACTGGTCCAAACCTCGACTTTCAACCTGGTCAACTCGCACTATATAAGCCCTAGGCCTCATTATTCTGTAGGATTCTGGAATCACGTTCCCCTATAGTATTCTGCGCTATACTCTGAGATATAATTCATAACAGACTGGGACAGCAGTAACTTGATTGTTATCCCTAATGTAAGGAATAACGATTCCTTATTGGGGCTCGCCACAGCGAGTACCCGCAAACCTCTCGGTTCCGCAGGCTCGGCCCTCAAGTCACGCGCCAAACCAGCCCCCGTCGACCTTTTCGGCCCCAACCTGATCCCGAGTCGCCCCGAACCCATTTTGACCCCATCACCCTTTGGGACTGTCGAACCCTTGACTGGTCCAACCCTTGACATTCAACCCTGGTCAATCGCACTATATAAGCCCTAGGCCTCATTTCTATCGTCATTCTGTAATCACTTTCCACTATAGTATTCTGCGCTATACTCTGAGTTATAATTCATAACAACTGGTATCAGAGTTACGTTCCTGCCCATTAGGCTGCCGGTAGGGGAGAAGACCCTATCGGGGAAGGGGGCGGAAGGATGCTGATGGCGAGCGGACGTCGCGGAAATTAATTCCACGGGCGTTGCCGATGCCGTCAGATCGTGTCCCATGGATGGTTGGGATTGGCCGGTCCTCCCCTTCCCTCGGTGTAGACGGAATTATTTCCCGTCAAAGAGTGGGCGACGTTTTCGCCGTGTTTTTTTAATATGTTCGTTAGAGCTTTCGTAATTTTCGGGTGTTCGGACGGAGTCTTCGGATTGGCTTCCGAAAAAAGCGAAGGCTTCGTGCACGGGAGTCCTCAGGCGGCCGAGAGTTGGTCGTCAGGAGCGCGCTGGGGCGCCATGAAGCTAGAGGGTGAACTGTAGCTGTGTCGCAGGTCCTGGCGTTTCCGGCAGGCTAGTTGCAAGCGATGGACAGGACTTCAACACTATTTCGGCAATGGGCGGATCTGACAATTTCGGAATGACACGATCGCACGAGGACGTGTGGGTGTGCAGTTGTGTAGGAGCAGCTGGGATTAACGACCTCAGCGCTATTCACCACGACGACCATCTGGAGGACATGGCGATGTGCTGAAGTGAGTGTACTCAGCGAGGGCAACTTCCCGCGCGGGGAGGCGTTTTTCGTGGACAAGCGATTCATACTCCCACGATCAACGGAAACGGAGGCCACCACCCCTGGGTGTGTATTAAGTGTTTTTCTACCGGTCGCCGAATGCGTTAACTGTCAGGATTTGAAGCAGTGGGAGAAGAACGACGGGAGTACTAGAGCAGATGGGTTAGCAGCGTTCAGGCTGCTACTCGCTCAGCTACGTCGCCTGGAAATCACCATTCCCACCAGGTAGCAGTGTCGACTTATTAATCAACGGCTTCTGACTGAATAAGAGGGGTGAACCTGCGAACTACACTATGCTTATGGAGTGTCCCTGAAATTTTCGGAGTTACTGTTGCAATGGAATTGAGGGTTTCACCTGGTGCAGCAGAAGGAGGTTCCGACTTTTGCGGGTGTAGTTTTGACGAGTTTCCGACAGAGGCGGGAGCAATCCAGCAGTCAATAGGCGAGCTCGTTAAAGCTCCTCTTACTAGAAGCGTGCGCACTCCTATCGCTGCGGATTCTCCTAGTTAGTTAAGCAGCAGCGAAGCGGTTCTGAGTAACCTGGCGCAGCCGCGAGATGGGTGCACGTCTGCACGGCCAACTGACAGGGGTACCAGAGTATATTAGAGTTGGGTAACAACTGGGAGGAGATCGACGGCGTATGATGCGCATTGACCTTGATCGCCGGCCAAAACATCTTGCCGAGGCGGGGGACTCCGGTAAACCCTAATATAAAGGGTCTTGTTCATGCGTACAGCTGGTGAAGAAACCGTGGGGGCGCTGCTAAAGGACGCCGCGATGCCTGGGCATTTTTACGGGTAGCTGTGAAGCGGAGTTACGGTATTTGCTAAGTACCGAGTGGTTCCGACATTTTCGGTGGGTTTGAGGAGCAGTTCAAGAGATTACAACTGGAGTTGTGCCCGCTATCTTTAAGAAGTACGAGCAACATCGACCGACATTTGCGGAATGTTTTGGTTGTATGAAGCGGAGGGAGAGCAATCGATGTTTCGGTTCTTCCTGAATTTTTGGCGTGTACGGACAAAGAAGCTGATGCAGCTGGCGTCATTCGACCCCAGGTTTGGTTCGAGTTTTTTCACTGGAGTGGTTCACTACAGGTTACAGGTCATCGCCATCGTTGTATTCTTTTCGCCACCACCCGCTACCACCTCCATCGTCAAGTCGCCTAATTCGCAAGACAGTGTGAACACGACCCCGCCTCGCCATCCGAATCGACAACAGCCGTATCGGATTTACAGGAAATTTGGCCGCAGTACTGTTGGAGCTGTGTTGGGGCCAGCTCGCTAGCAGTGTTTGACTACTGAATTTTTTTTGAGTTCGTGTGGGAGTCTACTACTGGAGTTGCGGAATTTCCAGACCTTCGACGCGGTTTACCCTAAAGGCAATTTACCTGGAGCGGATTTTGGAGTCCTTCTGATTCGCGTTTTTAGTGGCTGGGATTTATTTCAACGGCATCTTCAAAGCATAGTGATGGGACTTTCAACAGCACTGTGGGATTATTTCAACTACCTTAGAGCATAGGGTTTCATGGAATTTTACCTGGCCAATTGGGAGCTGTTTCTCTTGGAGGGGGGAGAAGGGCAGCTATGCTGCAATTTCCGTCTGACCCTTCGTCGTGTTCCATTATCATTCGTCGCCGTTACGCTTTCGCGCCTAATTTCGTCACTTCGTTGTTGGAGTTCGCTGACTTTTGTGGGACACGGACGCGTGCTCTCGCATGTGACACGAACGACCTCACATTTGATGAACGGGTTATTCATTTCATCGACCATTATGTTATTCGACAATCATCATTTCAAGATATTCATCTGCCACGCGCCATCATCAATCGACCACTCGACAGTTTCAGTGTTCATTGTCTTCCGCTGTAGTATTTATCCTTGCCCGTTTGGTCAGCAGAAGAATTCGACCATCTTCGACGGCTGAGATTAAGAGCGATCGTTTCGACGCTTTCTAACAGGGCTTCACATTGGATTTTGAGGGGCTGTTGGCTCAGGGTGCCCCTAGCAAGAGCCCCAGCTTTTCAGGGTCGGATTTTGGAAGTTGCAATTTTTTTCAGGGTAATGTTTTTCGAATGCTGAATGATCAGGACTAAAAATTTTTCAGAGCTGAGATGATAGGGTTGAACCTTGGCGATTTTTTTGGGTGGGTAGGATTTTAACCTAGCACATTATGTTAAACAGGGCATGTTTTGTCAGGAAAAAAAAAAAAAAGCCTCACTAATCAGGAACATTTTTTAGGTTTCTGATCCTTAGATCGGATCGGACTTCACTAGGTTAAAATTGTCCCACTACCAGCGTGATTTTGGCCAAGGACTAGTCACGCCCCTCACGCCTGCTCCAACTCACGTTAGACTGCATGCGTGATTTTGGCGAAGGACCAATCACGCCCCTCACATCTGCTCCAACTCGCGTTACCTGCGTCATTTTGCCTATGGTCCCGTCACGCCCCTCACACCTGCTCCAGCTCGCGTCAAACTGCCTGCGTGATTTTGGCGAAGGACCAATCACGCCCCTCACATCTGCTCCAGCTTGCGTCACCTGCGTCATTTTGGCGATGGACAAGTCACGCCCCTCACAGCTGCTCCAGCTCGCCTCGACCAGTCAGATAGGATTCTGTTTCAGGCTGGAAATCCGTTAAGGCTGATAATTCAGGGTGACCAAAACAAGAACATACAATATTTCAAGGCTGTTCAAATCAGAACCCCTAAAATTCAGGGCTAGGAAAAATCAAAAGCTGAAACACAGGACGACCCTAAAAAAACACCTTGATATACAGCATTTCAGGGCATTTTGGCATGACTTCTGAAGCCCTGCTTTCTGACCATCGATCGCAGTTAGCCTTGAAGACCTCGTCAGGCCGGCGTAATCATTACGCTCGTCACAGGGCTGAAGACTTACAGTCACATCGGGAATTACTTTTAATTATTGTTCGGCCTCGATAAAGGGAGTGCCTTCTTTTAGAAGGTGGGAGAGTGTAAGGAATTACGATTCCTTACTGGGGCTCGCCACAGCGAGTACACGCAAACCTCTCGGTTCCGCATGCTCGGCCCTCAAGTCACGCGCCAAACCAGCCCCCGTCGACCTTTTTGGCCCCAACTGTCACGAGAGCTAGGTAGCTAGGAAGCCATGAAAATGGCGAGAGGGTTTAGCTAGGAGAAAGTTGACGAGAGAAAAGAGGTCGAGAATAGAAGAGAGAGAGATACAAGGAGGGGTGTTGTACCCTCTACAGTAAGTTTCAGTAACGCCTACCAAGCCTACAATTATATAAC